AACACATTCAATTAAGAGTCAAATAATGTCCCTTCTATGGCTAGACTTTGGCCTGGTTTGGTACTGAGGTGATTCTAAAAAAAGCTGGTATAAAAAAAAGCTTGGAGCTTTTTTGTGTTTGGTAAACATTCAGCTTCAACTTTTTTCCACAGTTTTGGGTGAAAAAAAGCCAAAAACAAGAAGCTGCAAAACCCAGCTTTGAAAAACCGGTTTTTTTTCACATCTATTTTACATAAAAGTTTACCAAACACTATAATACTGTTTTTTTTTTTTTCAAAAGCATTTTTACAAAAAAATTTACCAAACACTCTACAGCTTTATTTCACAGCCGCTTATTCTCACAACACAGCAGAAACAATTTTTTTTCAAAGCACAACAATACCAAACCAGCATTTTGTCTTGCATAACCTCATGAGACTGGCAACACATTCAATCCCTCAATTTGCCAAGTCGCAGGGATGAACCTATATTGAGCCATGACGCCAAATCCAGATGTTCCTCCGGAGATTTCCTCGATCAGGTCTTGCATAAGTATGCTGTTTCTGTTTCCATTCCGAAACTCAAAGTGATTGTTTGGTTTGTCTCTTTATTTAAGGGAAGAGAGGAGGCAATGACTTGGTCACCATCATCAAGTTGTCATAGTACAAGAGTGTGGCAAGCAAACGATCATGGAAATAGACGTTGATGTCGTTCTTGTCATTCGGGTTTGTGACTATGAGCGTCAGCTCCCACTCAATGGTTAACTCGAGCCTCGTCACTTTGAGCTGGGAAATGGTATGACTCCACTCTGACTTTCAATCTTCTAGAGGTAGTTTGTAATACCACAAGATCAAGGCCATTGCATGCAATATCCTAGACAATCGCCACGAATCGTTGCGCTACAACCCCCTCTAAGGCCTCCTAAGGTACAAGTTCGTGGTTAATATTGATTTGGACGGGTAGGGTTTTTTTATTTTTTTTAACAAACGATATATTATCTATATTAATAGGGCAGATAATTGAATTAAACCTTACAATAGGGTAGTAATATGGTTCAAATTCATCTTTGGTGAGAATCGAACCTAAGACCTCTCACTTACAAATGAAGAGAAATACTACTAGACCGTAGTATTAAATGGCATGGGCAGGTGTTTGTTGGGTGTTCATTCTCATTAATTATTGATTTGGAACCTAATGGATTGGGATTGAGAAAAGAAATATATGTCTAAATTATAAATTATTGCATTTAGTGGGCTTAGTATTTCCGGCAATTTGCAATGGCTTCTTTATCTCTTTATGTTTAGGACCCAAAAAAAACCAGTTCTTTAGATGCAATGCAACTAACCTTCCCTTTCAAACAAATTGAAATGACTGAAGTATTTCTATTTGGAATCATCGTAGGTCTAATTCCTATTACTTTGGCTAAATCATCTTAGGTCTAATTCATATTACTTTGGCTGGATTATTCGTAAATGCCTATTTAAAATACAAACTTGGTGATTAGTTGGATCTTTTTAAGTCGATGCTGGAAAAGCTATTGCATCTATCTTCTACTTATCGAACCTATTCTTGTTGTGAAATATGTCCATTACTTGCCTTGCTATTTGTCTAACAATAGGTCACTTTTTAATTTTATTTTATGGACCGAGTCTTTCTGTCATGATCATTTACAGGTGATTTCCTGATATATTGCTACGCTTTCTTACGGATCACTAAACGCGCAAGTTCAATTCGGGATCTTTGTGGTTGTGTTGACCCTAAAAACTACCAAATTTACGTGCGCATGCCGAGTAATCTATGAGCTAACTACGTCCTTTGGGTTGAATGCAGGGCGTGCCAACTCATCGGCTAAGGAGTAAAATATGTTGATGTTGCGTTGGGTGCGCGACTGACTTCTACGTCTTGCGATTGCGGCCGAAGAAGGAACACGTCTCGGCCTCCTGGATTCTCAAACCTGAAGACAAGGCTATTATTCTTACGAAGTTCACAAATCGTTGTTGTCAGATTCGATCACTGTGATGGTTTTCGTCAGAGTAAACTCACGCCGAATCGACACCAAAGTGTAAGGGCACAAATACTCAAAGCGGATATAAGTCTTAACAGTAAACGTGGTTCGGCCGTCGAAGTGCCGAACTCTAAATCCCACTTGAGAGTATCCAATCATAAAATAACTCGGCGTGCTATGTGCCGAGCCCAATAGACTGTAACATCTCACTTCGTCGAGAAGGTTGATGAGATGACCTCGACCAACAAAGATTCGAAAATCCTTCTCGACCCATACTTGGATAGATAACCAGTTGCCATCGACGCAGTGCTGTCTATGCCGACTGAAGATGCTGCGAGATCAGCTGGTTTTACGGCAACAGTGTTGTTTATGCCAACTGAAGATATCACCGGTTGCCTTCACAGTGTTGTTTATGCCAACTGAAAATGTGTCGGCGAAAAAGAAAAGAAAAAAATCTCAAGGTTGTTAAGAGAATTTGCGCAGGGCAGTTGTGTGATAAATTGGAGGGGCTTTGAATGATGCACAACCTCCTCTATTTATAGCATCAGGTCCTCTCTAGATCGAGTTAAAACCCTACTCGGATTAGGACTTCTTATCCTAATCAAACACTATCTTGACCAGTCCTATTTTCACTATGACTTTGAACCCAGTCCTTTATCAAGCTGCATTCACTTCCTCATTATCAATATCTATATCTTGTCGAGACTCCTTATTGTGCCAGGATTCAATTACTCGTCTCGCAGCACAACTTGGCCGACCTAGGTTGAGAAGCCCATGAACTAGACGATCCACAATAACCTTTCGTAAGACCTTCCGGACCGAGAATAAAACTCAGCCCAAACCAATATTTTGGGCCCAAACAGGTTGCTTATGAGTTATGACAGTGGCTATTGCCTTTATTTGGTAAAGCCACTTTTTACAATCGTCCGCCCCTCCAGAGTGAGTTGAAAGCATCATATAGATGTCTCCTACCATACTATTGTTACCATAACAACAATGAGATTCGGAGATTTGAAGCCCAACACCAATTCATCCGAGTTCGTGACGTGCATGGTTGTTCTGGTTTACTCAAGTATAATTATGGGTGTTGTCGAGAGAGTTATCGATTGGCCTCTATTTATGTTGCATTCCTTAGTGCATTTTATTAAGCATCTGAAGTCTGAGCCACGTGCATATTTGAGGAAACCTAATGCATTACCCAAGAGAAAATGAGGACAATGATATTTTGTACTCTCACTAATTATTGTGTTAGCTTCTATGTATTTTTATCTACTCACCTCATCAATTGTCGTTGTGGAATATTTTTAAATTTCTCTTGGTACCATTGGAGGATTGGGTTTATTTTCTGTACATCTATCTCATGTTTTGTGGCTGTCTTAGAAGTTTATAACTTCTCTTCCCTTTGTATGTAAAACGCCTATTGATGAACGAGTGCATTAAACAATGATCGCCCTGGCTATGGAGAGAGCTATTGCAATGACAACAACACAAAGGGCTGATCGCACGAGTTATTAAAAGGACAAGATCCCAAGGGTATGTATATGCACATAGAAAAGCAAGCAAAGTGCATAAGCACATTTAAGGCTGTTAAGCGTTGTTGTTGAAGCAGTTAGGAAAATGGAAGCACAACTTAAAGAGAGAGACTGCCTAATTGTTGAAAGAAGGACAGAAAGGCCCAAGTTGCATCTGCAACTCTCCAGCTGTGTTGAGTTGCAGCTGCCACTTTAGTTGCTTGTAACTAGGACAAATCAATCAATCTATCTTGTAACTTACATCTAGGGCTAGCTGTTTTATCTGTTCTAGGGCCAGCTGTTTTATCCGTTGGTTTCTTCAGCGGCATGTTGCCCTAGTTTGTCCAAAGGCTTTCAGCACTAATACATATAAAAAAGTTTAAGCAAGATTTCAATACTAATACAACAAAAAGAGTATAGTTAGAGTAAGAAATTATGGATCTTAGTGTATGGTAGAGTTTGATTAGAGTTCCAAATAAAATTAAACGAAAACATATTTGTTTTAAAATCACATTTTAAAATTTGAAGTTATACGTGAAATGCTCTTTAAAGATGTTGAGGAGAGGTGGTAGAGGTGGCAGGGTCATTAAAGCCTGGCAAGATTTAAAATTTAATTGTATGAGAAAATATCTTCTACCTTTAAGTTCCTTCCTCCACCCGTGGTGGACCACCGCTAATGCAATTGATTGAATATTTGATGCTTCCTATGTATAGAAGGAAAACTGTCATTTGACTATTTAAATTATTATTCCAGTTAAGATTGATCTTCTTTACAGCTACCTTCACCTTCACGTGATAAAGGCAGCAGAAACTGGCTAATTTCTTGATCATTTTTTTTGGGAGAAAAGCGTTTTATGTGATGGGCAGCAGCAGGGGCAGAGGGTAGGAGGACTTTTAACGTTGTTTTGTCTTTTCTCAATAATAAAAAACAAAGATATCCATAATAATTTTAACCCATGTCAGCTACATGCTATATCATGTTTACACTTGAGCACGATATAATTTTTGAGAAAGTCGTAATTGTTTTGTGCTTAATTTAAAATTTTAAATAAAAATGAAGATAAATGAAGAACCGTTAAATAGAAAAATTTACATACTATATGTATTCAAATTCAATCATATCTTAAAGGAATTAGCAACGAACCCTCCATTTTAGAGAAGAAAAAAAAAAAAAAAAGAAGAGAATGCTCCATTTTGGTCGTACACATTTGATATTTGATTGTCCTTGGTGCTATCACATTAACTCATATTGCTAAATCCTAGAAAAAGAAACGATAAAATAAACAAAAGAAACGAGAACAGAAACAAAAACAAAACTACTAAAACCAAAACACTAATGCACACTTCGGGGATTCGTACGCAGGACCTGGCAGCTGAGAACTTGCGAAGAGTCGCTAGCCAACACTTACAAACCCCACGTGTGTCAAATCCTGGGAACAATTGCAATATAAGCTGAACCAGCAGCTGCATTTGTCAAATGAAAAACCCGAGCACGCATAGGATTCCCTTTTCACTAGCCTCGATCATAGAGCCAAACGGCTCTCTTCTGTCCAGTCCTATCCCCTTGTCAGACGGAGAGGGATAATAATATGATTTGCAAACCCGAAGGCTCTCGTTCTCTCTAGAAAAATGAGAGACGTCTCTCATGGCTTTCATTTCAAACCCATCCATCTATGCTCTCTCTCTTCTGCATGACTCTAAAAAAACGCAAGAGCTTTCTGTCTCGTTAAGCACATTTTTCTCTCATGTCCTCACCTCTCTTCACCCTCAGCCGCTCAACCACACAGCAGCACCAACCTTGCACCATAAACCACACAACGATACTCACTCTTCTCGGCAAGAGCCCCAAACCAACGCCTCTGTCATGGAAATGGTAGCACATTTGATGCTCAAATTTTTCCACAAAAGGTAATCTTCGTCCGTGTCCCCTTTTTTTTTGTTTTTTTTGTAGTCTCTGAGTAACTGGTTGAACACCATGGTTCGGTGATTGATGCATGTTGGTCTCAGGTCCGTGTATAGTATGAATGTGCAAATGTCCATGACCTGAAAGCTCTGCAACGGCAATGAAAAGGAACAACAACAAAGACTGCAGATCCGGTTCCTGCAAAGGTAAAAATCTGTTACTCCGTTCACGATGGGTTCCATTGCGTGAGACCGTTGCTTCATTATGCCTGCATGTAATTAGACTGGAGTGGTATTTTGTGCAGAACACTCAGATCCGTGACAGATCTGAGAGAAAGAAATCTCAACTGAAAATCCACTGGACAGAAAGCATGGCACATCTTAAAAGTCGTGATCTATTGATTCTGAAGGTATAAACTCAGCCCTGCTTTGATTTAAATGTCATGATTAATTTCATCCATGGATCTGGGAAAAATGTTAACAAAAACCATATATATATGCGGGTTTGAACATGAATCGAACTAACAACATACGGACTACCATGTATATGAGGAAAGTGGACTTCAAATGCGTGAGACTTAACGAAAACTAAATGACCACAAAAAAAATATATGGACCCTAAAACGTAAAGGACCCCAGATCTGTTGAACAAATAACAAAATGAATAAGACCTGCAGACCTAGAATGAATTTCACAATGTTGTGTGTTTTAAGTGATACATATAGCCTGGATCAAAAAGTCATAATGTCCACAATCTCTGTCTCCATCTTCTACTCCTCAGGTACATGGTAGATGTGTTTATTGTTTCTCGTTGATCATTTGCTTTCTTAATGGTTCTGTTTTAGTCTATCCTTTACTTTGTTAATGTATGGTTGGGATGATTGGTTTTATGGGCTTTGGGTAATTCTGGGTTTGCCATATGCATTACTTCTAGATGATCAAAATTATGTAATAGTTTATTCAAACATTTTTACTTTCTTAAATGATTTATATTATGAACTCAAAGTTGGATGCTCCCACCGATTTACGAACTCAAGTTGTCTGATCTTTTTCTCATTTTTTGAGTTTGATTGAATATGTTCTCTATTTATTTATGAGCGTGTAAGTTAGAGACCCAACATCCGTTCATTACAAACTCAAAAACTCTTTTTTATTTTTTAATTTTTTTTAATTTTGTAGTTATCAATTTTTTAATTTTGTAATTTTAATTAAGTACATAAATCGGAAACTGTACAGAGGCAAGGCGGTATGTGTCGGAAAGGGATCCTCTCCGGAACCTTCCACCAAATTCACCAGGTCCCCAAATCCGGATATTTGAAATTTGATGCAACGGTTATAGTTATTATAATTTTAAAGTAGCCTTGTTTATAGCTGTTGGGTTAAATTTTAAGTGCTTGGATTGGTGTACTTAGCGGCTTTGATGAAAGGGATCTGGAGAAGATCCCTTTCCGTATGTATCGGCCAAAAAGGCTTTGATTTCGCAGCCGCACCTCCACATCCACCACACCATGCAGGCGGTGGAGGCCGTCTAGTCGCCTAGGAAGGAAAAGCTTTATTAAGTTCTACCAAAAAGAAACTACCCTTTATTAATTTCAACCAAAAAGAAACTACCCTTTTTCTATCTTTTTGAGTTTAATTGAATATTTTCTCAATTTATTTATGGGTGTGTAAGTCAGAGACCCCCAGCACAAAATTTCATCCCTAATTTAGGAACCCAGTTTTTTAATTTTTTTAATTTATAGTTAAATATACAATACTGGATGTAAGGCACTGTGTGAGGGCGAAAATGCTTTTGCTTGGCAGACACCTCCAGATCCACCGCACCATGCAGGTGGTATAGGAAGCCCTAGGGAGGAATAGCTTCATTATTTTCAACCGAAAAAGAGACGAACCTTTTCTTTTGGTGTTTGAGCATTCTAGCTGTTCTTTCATGATGTGCTTGCTAGGCTTTTTATGGATAGGCGGTAATCCAGCGGCCAAAGCTGAAGCCGAGTGTGGTGGTTGCTCCAGCTGTGGTAATTCTGGCACGCTTCTCAGCAATGTCATTTCAAGATCTCCATTCACTGCTATAGGTGCGCTTACATTGTTGAACTGTTCAATATTTTATTATTATTTGTATATCAATAAAAGTTATAAATTTATTTCAAATATAGCTATAAAAACATAACAACATGAGATTTATATGCAACAAATTAATTAATTACTTCATCTAACAATTGAGAAAAAAAAACCAAGTGAGAAGTTGAGATACGGGACGACAAGAAGCGGTCCGGTAAATAGATACACACATTGATATCACTCCCTATGTTAGTCAAACTTACTGCAGTATTAAAATGGGACACGAGTTTTTATAGAGGTAATTTATTTTCAGTTGTTATAATTACAGTAAAATGTAAAAACTGTGTAACAAACATGAGTTAATAACATTTTTTTAAAAATCCAATTATGTATACCATCGAAAATTATTGATTAATTTCTTAATTTGGACGGGTTCCAAGATATAAGACTATCTATGAATGACTATGAACACAATTGGATATGCAAAGAGCCTTACAAGTATTATCTTGAATTATTTTAAGTCACTCGTGTTGGGAAAGCAATCTTCAGATTGCTATTGTTATGATAACAACGGTGAAATAGATTTCCTCTATGAAGCCTTAGCATCCTTTTCAATACTCTCCTCAGTTCTATTGATTTAGGCCCGCCCTAATATCAAATTTGCATAACTTATTGTATTGTTTCTTGTCGTCCGATAACTCAATGTCTTACTCTTCTTTATTCTCCATTGTTGCATAAAGTAAGTTGAGAGATCATTTCTCTAATTAGGTTAAAGTTGAGTGATCATTTATAGTTTTGTCATTTAGTTTCCCATATTTGCCATTTGATTCTGAATTTTCGTGCGTGTCACGTGACTCATTTGATGGAAGCCATCGATTGTCCCAATGACACTGTACTCAAATTCACAAGTTCAATCTCAATGAATGTGAGCATGTTTTCATGATTTTTTTAGCCATACAGTATGTTCAAATTTTAACTTTTCTCTCGTTCATATTAGTTAGAAAAATCAGTATCGTTTATTTTCTAAAGAGGTTAGTAGTTAAAAATACATGAAAAATCTCTGAAGCTAATGAAACTCAGTCATACAAATAAAATGACTTAAAGTTGATAGATTATTGTTTAGAAATTCTAAGCCATTGAATTCTCGGCCACGAAACAAAACTTATTAATAAAATTCATAGCCACTAAACAAAACTAATTGATGAATTGTTAGTCTCAACAAAACTAATTAATGAATTCTTGGCTAGAAAAAAAAATTAATTGGCCACTAAAAAAACAGTGATATTGTTCTAAAGAATTTAGTTGACAACTGCACTTTCTTGGTTATCTGATCTTGCCTCCCTCATCAAATCAAACACAAGAAAAAAAAAATCCTAAATGGTAAACGTATTACAAAAAAATTGTTGTAAACAACTTGAAGTGGATGGATGATTTTGTTAATTAGCGGTATTTCATTCCTGAAGAGAGTAATGACGCTTAAGTGTTATTAAGGCCTTGAAGCCGATCTTGTAGTCGTCCTATTGCATTCTAAATTTCATTAGCAACATTCTCTAGTTCTCTTTCGGAGTTTTTCACCAATAATCACTCCGTCTTCTCTCTCTGTAGTCATTTCATGAGGTTTCTCCAATCTCAAAGTGGTTCTTGTATGATATTATTGTTCAGGTAAGTTTAGGCTGCATAAATAATAAAATTCACAAACCAAAATAATAAAATTGACTTACAAACAAAAATAGATAACATAAAATATATGTGCTTATAAAATTAATTAATTACCTGATCTTCTAGTGTTGTCACGAGCTATTTAAGAAATTGATATAGCGAGCCATGCAATGCGATAAACACATACAATGAAGCGAAAACTTGATCATCAAGGATGTGAAAGAAAAATCGCGGTAGTCAACGGTCATTACAATGATTATATTAAAGTATCATACATCTAAATTGTGGAACTTCTTACCCTCCAATATAGGTATTAATGAAATAACTGAGCCTATCAGCAATAAAAGCATCTGGATTGTTGTAGAAACAATCTGAATATAGCTAGTCCTATGGTTGAATCCTGTCCATTGGGTTGCTTGAAATAAAAGCCAACCAACGGCTGCATTGATGACAACTGTAGCCCTAGGTGCCAAAAGAATTGTAAGTAGCAATTTGATCAACATTGAAATACCCAGGTTTGGGACTGTGAAATTCAAAGATTCGGCTAAGCTGTTGGATCCCTATGCGATACTTTCCTCGTCGTTCATCGTATGTTTGCTAATGAATAGTTGAGAATCTTGGGATAATCAATTTTATGAGCATTAGGTTTTGCCATATGCACTACTTAACGAACACAATTATGTAATTGTTTACTTAAAGTGGGTTACTTTCCTTAAAGATTTATATTATAAGCTCAAAGTTGGATGCTTTTTTATTTTATTTTAGGAGTTTAATTGTTCAAATTGGACCCGATATATTCTGTCCTATTGTGATGCACTTGTTAGATAACCAAGAGGTGATATATCTAACAAGTACATCATAATAAAACAGAATATATCATTATCCAAACATGAAAAAACAAACTCCAAAAATAAATAATATTAAAAAAAAGCCAACTTTAAGCTCATAATATAAATCATAAAGGAAAGTAAAAAACTTTGAATAAACAATTATATAATTTTGTTGATCTTTAAATAGTGCATATGGCAAACCCAAAATCACCCAATCCTCATCAAATTGACCATCCCAAGATTCTCAACTATTTATTAGCAAGCTTTATTTACTAAAACACATCAACCAAGCAAATGATAACGATGAGGAGAGTATTGCAAAAGGATCCGACGGTTTTGTCAAATATTTGAAATTCACATTCCCGAACATGGGTATTTCAATGTTGATCACATCACTACTTACGATTTTTTTTGCGTCTAGGGCTACAACTGCCATCAATGCAGCCATTGATTGACTTCTATTTCAAGCAACTCATGGACGGGGCTTAACCATAAGACTAGCTATATTTAGATTGTTTCTGCTATTATGTTGCTTTTATTGCTGATAGACTTAGTTATTTCATTAATACTTATATTTGAGGGTAAGAAGTTCCACAATTTAGATGTGTGGTACTTTAATATAATCATTGTAATGATCGTTGGCTACGACGATTTTTCTTTCACGTCCTCCAAATGTCAAGTTTTCGCTTCATTCGAAGTGTTCATCACGTGCTTGCTTTATCAATTTCTTAAATAGCTCATGGCAACATTGGAGGATCATGTAATTAAATTTATGAGTGCTTATATTTCATGTTTTCTATTTTTGTTTGTGTTAAATTTTATTATTTATGCAGCTTAAACTCAACTGAGTATTATACAAGAATCAATTTGGGATTGGAGAGCTCATGAAATGACGACAAGGAGAAAGACAGAGAGTGATTATTGGTGGAAAACTCCCAAAGGGAATTAGAGAATGTTGCTCATGAATTCAAAATGGAATAGAATGACTACAAGATTGGCTTCAATTCTTCAATAATACTTGAGCATTATTTATTCTCTTCTGGAATTAAATACCGTTAATTAACGACATTATCCATCCGCTCAAGTAGTGTACAACAATTTATTATAATACGTTTACCATTAGGAATTTAATTTTTTTCTTCTTGTGTTTGATTCAATGAAGGAGGCAAGACCAGAGAACTAAGAAGATACAGTTGTCAACTAAATTCTCCAAAATAATCACTGTTTTTTGTTTAGTGGCCAATTAGTTTTGTTTTTTAGTCAATAATTTGTTAATTAGTTGCACACAAATAAGTAGGGAGAATATATATGCACGCTTTATGAACTCAACAAAGCTCTGACGTGTAGTTGGCATGATGTTTTACAATCTGCATGCCATATATATTTCCAATATTTATAACACGATTAAGGTCCAAAAGGTAGTTAACTAAACCAAAACATGCGCCAGAAGGCAGGCAGTTACCGCATTTTTCTTACGATGCTCCAGTGTCACCTCTTCAACTGCAGCAGAGAGTTTTACATTTATTTTCTCATTTCATCAATGGCTGCCAAACAAAGGCAAATATAAATCAATTTGTACAGGAACGGAGGCTAGAAAGATGCAATAGCATTGTGTATTCAAAAGATATCATAGTGAAAAAGCTATAATTAAAAAGTTGCCCTTAATTAATTAAGGAGAGAAAAAAAAAGAAAAAAGAAGGGGAAGAGAACTCTAGAAGCTGCGGGATGGCAGCAGGGGAGATGGAGAAAAGAAAGTTGCGGGAAAGAAGATAGAGGAGGGGAGAAGGGGTCGACTCTGATTTCAGCGTTTCAAGGAGAACATCTTCCACGGGAGGCTCAGCCGATGGAATGGGCGATGAGGTTGCGAGTGGCTTTGTAATTTGCGCAAGCTTTAAAGTATTGCAGCAGTAAAGGGCAGGCATTGTACCATGATCTGAATGCTTATAGAGTCCTCTTTGGTAAGGATGCGAATCCCAGACTCGGATTCATACTGTTATCAAATCAAATCCCCAAATCCAAACTCAATTCGATAATTTTGTGAATTTTTATTTGTTTTAGATTGGTTTGTTTCCTAAACCCTTTGTTTCCTCTATAATACCCACATCTCAAATTGTGATTTTATGTGATTTTTGATGGGTTTGGAAGTTGATTTTTTTAACAAGAGTATGAATGGTACTATAGTTTTCGTAGGGAATAAAGGTCTAATGAAAATTCATGTGGTGGTATGGTATTATGGAATTGAGTTGCATTTTGTTATTATGGTATTATGGATCTTGAGATGCATTTTGTTATGAAAAATAGTATGTGAATTTAATGCCCATGTTATTGGGTAAAGGTTACATCTTGCGTCTAGTTGGACTTTAAAAACATAGCTCCCATTTCTTACTTCCAAAAACTGATGCGCAACTCAGACGAAAGCCATACCCAACTGCTGGAAGTTCAGTAGCATTTATTGCTTCAGTAATGTATGCAAACTTGAAGCTCAATCATTCGTATTCGTAAAATCTTGCACAGTTTTAACAGAGGAACTGTTGTATGTATTATGATCAGTTCCTTCCCTGCAGCTGGCTGTCCGACCTGATATTGAAGAATTCGCATACAAAAACGTGAATACATCTACCAATTCAAGTAAGTATATTTTTGACAACACTGATTATATGTTTTGGGCTCCCTGGTGAAATGAGCTCTTGCTGGCAGATGTCAAATTGAAGAAAGTTATGAACTATGAAGTACATTCTGTTCCAGTGGATGCATTATTAGAGAAATTGGTTGCAATTTGAATTTGCACCGTTGCTATAAAATTTTATTGCTTTGCCAGCACTCCTCATGCTTTTATCATTTTAAAATGATACATTGAGTGTTGTGCTTATTGCAGGGTGCTATTTTCTTTCTTGACCATTTCATTGCTTCTTTTGTTTGGGCTAAAGACAAGACTTAATTGATTGTGCTTGATATATAATATGTTCAGGAATTAATTCTTAGCCTTAGGAAGTGTATGTATGATTAGAATGGTGATATCGTATGCCCAGAAGGCTATGAATGAATGTATCATGTATTCTTTGTAAATTTGTTCGGATCTTATGTTCTGAAACATTGTTTAGATGTTTCATCTTAATCAAAATAAATGAAGCCTCCGAGAAGCACTACGGGAAATTAAGTGTAGTCTAGTAGATCTACATTGGTTAGAGAATGACTAGAATTTGGGTGATATGATTATCACCCTAATTGCTTATATCATTATCATTTGTATATGTGCATTGGACTTATAAATATGATTTCTATTGAAATGTGATTTTTCATATATTTAGCCAATGACATGATTATTAAACATGATTTGGCTTATGTATGATGATTGTGATATATAGGTGTTTAGTTATCTTTTTAGTAATGTGAATGATATGTAAGATAAATGTTACGACAATGTGATCCTAGAATCCTATTAGAAGTATGTTGTAACACTTATATGCTTGCGTAACATATTAGTTGGTGGCCATGAGAAGTGAATATGGTAGGTGACTATGTTGTGGTTATAGAGATGATGAGGTTTAGATATACCTGGTACATTCAATAGGTACCATATACATATACATTCAGTAGGTACCATATAGATTCCGTTGAGTGATGGTCCGGAATCCTTTCTACTCTGCGATTCCGTTGAGTGATGGTCCAAAATTGTATCACTTTACTTGTTGGTTTCTTGGATTTGCTATCAGCTTCAAAAATGTAGGCTTGGCTTAACTGTGTCACTCTAGCCTTAGTTAATATAATTGTGAGCTTTAGAGAATCTTGTGAATTTAATTAGAAAAGTTGTTGGACGTTTGGGTGACTCCTTCAGGATTTTTTTAATGATTTGATTATGATTTCATAAGTATGAATTTAGAAGATATGGTTATGGTTGTTATTATTTTGGGCAAATGACTTAATTAATGTGGCTAGAGAATGGTATTGTGCTTCGTCGGTTCTTGATATGATATATGTTGTGAAGTGCGGTATCATGTTGCAATATAATGAATTAAATAAAAGATGGAAGGAAAATCATGATTTTCGGGTGGGTTTGTTATGTAACCTTGAGTCTAGTAATTTCTATGCTTGTCAAGTTCTATTGATTGACTGAGAAATGTTATGCATTTCGGCTTAAACGGACTGTGATTTATGTCGAGTTATAGCGAAGAAGACAAACTACGAATGACTTGATCCCTAATGAGGGTACGTAGGCAGTCTAACGAGGAGGTTAGATGCAGCCATAAAGTATACGGAAAATTATTATGCGATTCGATTCTTGAGTTGTGATTTGCCATATTCCGGAGGCGGGGTATGTTAGAGATACGGGTATTTGGTGACGTCATGTGTCGATCCTGGACATATGTCGGGATCGAGGCGTGACAGTACTAGACTACAAAATCAGAATATTATTAAATAAATACGAATGCCAAAACGGTTACAAAATTTCATGAGACTACATTGTGACATGCTTGTTCTAGAGTGAATTACATGCATCCTATTTATAATAAACTAAACCATAATCTCTAACAAAACTTAATTCTAACAGGCTGATCCCAAATCCTAAACTTATTATTTTCCAACACAAACACCATGCGAAAAGTGATCCTGATGATGCACTCCTTACATCAGATGCCGCTTGAATTAATGCCAGGCAACGACCCTATAATGATTACAAAGGAACATCAACAGGCCATGACAGTGGACGAAAGGAAAAAGAGAATGAAGGGTTTAAGCATGCAACTGTAAGCAAGGTTTCCCAAATAATCTGGAGCATAATACCACCCAGTTCAGAGCAACTGAGCATGATAGTATTACAATGTCGTGTTATAACTTCAAGTTTTGAATACATTTAGAATCATCCAACGGTAAGAGAGAATATTTGATGGAGGTGAAGGAGAAATGGATTTTAGATGTCTACAGAGAGAGAGAAACAGAGAGAGAGAGATACCAACGGCCTTTTGTTGCTGATAGGTAGGCATGCACGTCTGATTCAATAACTTTAAGCAAGGAGTATGATCCGAGCATATTTTTCTTTTCCAACCGACAAGGCATTTTTAAGAACTGATGCCTTGCAAGCTGATTAACAAGATGATTTATAAACTGTCAAGACAATTGAATAAGAAAATGTTAGACCAGAAGATCAGGAATCTTTGTGATACGAACTCATTGCTCTTTCGATTGATAATTAGACAATTAGTAACTAACAATACCGCTTTCTGCCGGTTAATGTAATATTCTTGTCGCATGACCTTTAAAGTCATAATCACCTACAAATTGATAATTCAGATCACATTAGGTACAAACTTTTTGAGCCATGCAAGGCAAATAATCTAATGTTGTTTCATCTTACAGTTGGTTTAGTTACTAATAATACCTTGCAATATGTATGTGTCTTGGAGTTGAGCCAGGTCCCAACAAAGACCCGGAATAGTCTGAGAAAGGAATACACAGTACGTCAAACACTATAACTCAAACTAAATCAAGGATATGAAAGTGTTTTGAAGGCAGAAATAAGCATACAGAAAAATCTTGTAAGAGTATCAATGTATGCGCCACCCCCAAGAAAAACAAATTAAAAGAGAAACCACAGAAGATAAATGAAAGTATAAATACAAGCAACATGATCGGGCATAGCGCCGCTGGCTCTGCCTCTGGCTCTCTGGCGAGATTTGGACTCAAGCTGAAGGTTTGTTATAAAGGTATCGGCATAAAATCGGATTTTTCCGGGCGCTTCTGCGACCGGGTGGTCGATTTGGGGTTTCTCCGATCAACTATGTTAACGGTGGGACTGAGATTTCGACAATTAAGAAGGGCCAGTCAACGGAATGCTATTATCATAAGGCAAAGAACTTTCATTACTGAGAAATAAGTTGGAGATGGTTGGTTTGTTCATAAACTAGCAATTACTAATCTCGTATGGAAGTTGATATCTATGGGTTGAATTGGAAATGTTGGCATTGCAATGCTGCGGCTTGTTCTTTTGTTGAATGAGTAGGTTTCACTAGTTTGGTATGCAGTTTGTTGTTCTTTTCATCTTCTCTTGATATGTAAGTCAGAATTGTTTAAGGAAATTGTTAGTGCTGCAAATAATCAAGCCAAACAAGCAATGGTTTTGCCCTTCCAGCCCATTTCCCTTTGCTTTTAACTATGCTAGTTACTATGCAGATATACATGAAGATTTATATCAAAAGAAACCAAAAAAGGAATTGGAATGTGATGTTTCAATTCGTTTTCTTTAAAGTTGAAATGTTTACTTAAAGCCTTTTTAGTTTAGGTTTAGGGTTTTCGTTGACATAATTAATCATGACTCCTGCCATGGTGGCCAGACACAGATGAGGCTGTGGGTGTGGACACATATTTATGTTATTATCAGTATGCCCGTTTGCTTTCTGCTTGGCTTCTTAGTAGAGAACTTGCATCGCCTCTATGCATTCTAGTTACTTGTTTCATCATGTCTTGTATGCGTACATTAAGAGAGGGGGGCAGACGATTCTCAACCACAAAATAGTCAGTGCTCACTTTCAAAAACCACTGTAACTTCGTATCATTGTCTGGTAACAAATCATGCATATTATACTGCAGCTGATGCTCAACTTCAAGGTTGAATTCAAAGTGTGTCCATCCATCTTGTTGGGCAATCGGAAATCTCTCAACTTAAAGCAGAAACCGCATCTTCCTAGTCTACTTTCACCTGAAAACAACACACGGGCAATGGTATTGGGCACTACGTGCACATCAGCAATGTTAAAAGTTTGTCCCCGTACTAGCTGTAGATTGCAAATATGGCTTACCAGTTCGAGATGGCTCAGCAAAGCTCCACATAATAAATTCTTGAGCTTGTTACATTCATCTACCATGTGGCCCGAACTGATCAATTCCTCAAGTTGGCACCACAGACGCTGAATTCCTGTGTATGGAAACCAGACTCCAAGTGGTCTTTTACGCTTGATTATGTCAGCCGGCCTCTGTGGAAGAGAACATGTTAAGTTAAACAACCAGCAGAGCAGAAATCAACATGATATAAGAAGGCATACCGTCCCTACAATACTAATGACACGAAACTAAGATACACTGCTTTTGCATCAGTTCGTTTGTCCCATATTTCATCTAAGGTACATCAACAACTCGAGTATTTTATTTAACCTCCATATACATGAATAATTAATTCTAATGTTCCAAAAATTCCAGAATTACGCACGAGAGGTACTTACATTTTGATTAAGGAGGCACTATTACATTAAAGAGGAATGCTATTCAGACTCGATCAAAGTAGTCTAAAAAGGTTCTTCCTTACATTCGTCACTTTGATCAAAATAGTCTAAAAGGGACAACAATACATAAAATAAAATAAAAATATCGCCAACTACTGTTTTTTGGAGAAAAAACGTCACCCCACTACCTCATCAGTAGCCATTCTACTACATTTCTACCCCTCTATGAAGCCCCGCCCATCCCCCTAATTCCATGGCTCCCATCATTCCAACCCCATTCCCTACTCCCTCATCGCTCACACTTCCACCTTCAAACCAAACTCCACCATAAACCCACCATCTTAAGTCCATATGAAACTTTGATATTAAACCAAACTCCGCCATAGAAAGCACAAAATGGCATGAACTTTTGTAATGCAAAGTTAATATCATGGGCAACCCTTAGCCAAAGCAGCAGAAGCTTAAGATAGAAAAGAACAAGCTGCAATTGCTGCAATTTACCATTGATGCAAACAATCCTATGTACTCGAGCAAAAAAATTGTAGCTTCTCTGTATCGACCGTAATCAACATATAGTTGGAATAATAATGCTGGATTTGATCCTTGGCCGGTCATGCCCCAAGTCTTGTCCTTTCTACCATCCTGTCAAAACCCTAAGGCTTGGTTGTTGTTTGTACAGAAAAGGATAAACTAAATAACATAGGATATCAGATGCATCATTAACGAAGAAGGATAAACTAATAAGATGGAGAGAGAGAGAGAGAGAGAGAGAGAGAGAGGATTTGTTCAATTACACAAAAATATAGATGCTGTAAAACGTGGCTTCCTCTTTTATTTACAAACCACCTAGAGAGTTACCTTGAACATCTTTACCAGCCAAAGAGGCAATTCAATTTGAGGATCCGTACGAAGAAGAGTTTCAGCAACAATTAGTGGTAAACTGGCATGGAACACTTTATACTTGTCCTGCATATTTTGAATACATCAAAAGGGAAGGATAAGATGAAATTGCTTAAATGGAGCAAAGAGACAAAGGATGGGGAGACGTAAAGAGTGAACAAAACTCAAGGTGGCTTGTAAATTACGAGTATACATACTCCTGACTTCCTTAAACATATTTATAAGAACATACTTGACTATGAAAAAGGTAGAAGCACCAGCAAAGGCTGCCTCACCTACATTTGTGTTGATAAATTATAAAGAGAATGAAATGAATTCATCAAAATTTGATAGCCTAAGAGAATTTAAACAGAACTATTAGAATTATAGGAAGATAAAACACTTAATTTAGGAAGCTAGATCACTAAACACGGTAGGAACCAAATATTCTTATATATCAGAATCCTAATTACAATAAACTTCTATTGACCTGGCCTATTCCTAACCCATTCCCCCAGCAACACTCACTCCAGACATGGGGCAACCCAAAAGCTCAGTTAAAATATAGTTCGATGTAGTCTATCATCAATAAATTACTTGTTTTAAAATTAAAAAAAAAAAATATTGCATACTTGTGGTTTTATTTTTTTTCAGTGAACAGCATATATACTTGCATTGAACAAATTTAAAACAAAAAGATAATATCTGAGGCACTTGACCAGATTCAGCATAGGATTATAGTAAAGGATTATGAACATAAATAGGCACTTAATTCTTCGAGATATTCATACGAAACAGAGCCATTCAAAATAATTTTGTAGTATTCAAATATTCAGGCAAAGCTTCCATATATGCCAGCTTCCTTAGTTGAATAAAACCTCAACAGTACTTTCAAACAATTTATTTCCTGTTCCTTCTCATTTGAAACCTTAAGAGAAATAATAACACTAGGCTGTCTAAAATTAAATATGGGCGGTACTAATTATCTCTTAAAACCCTCCAAAATCCTAAATCTAGAGACTATTTTTTTCTTATTCAATAATGTAAACATGGAATCTATTCCTTCTTCCATAAATCATATTTAAAATGTTTCCTTCTAATATTTGATAAAAGCACATAGATGTTTAAGAAGCTCAAAAAGATTGACGACACCGAATATACATACAAGGTAAAGCTCAAGAGTTCCCCAGTGACTGATTCCCTTAAATTGTTCATTTGTAGAACCCACATCAGGTGAACCATGAACAGCCACATCAGCCATTGATGAAGTCAACAGAAGACCACGTGATCTGTGTTCATTCCTGAAAAATATCACATAATTCAGATTCAGTTACAAAGAAATTACTACAAGATCAGGATCGTACACTTTTTAAAGTATTTAAGCCAAATGCAGGAAAATATTTATCTTACCTAACCCATGAAGAATCAACTCTATGTGAACAGCATCTCAGTGACATGGCAGAGAAAACTCGTTCCATTCCCCTGAACAAAGACAGCTCCAGGTTTTATGCATTACAAAGGAAACACTATGGAGATAATATTATAATATAGACCTATACCTCTTCAACTCTGAACCTTTTAAGAATCTTAGAAGAACTGTAAATGCCATATCATATAAATTTGTCTGCATAAGGAGATCAACAACCTCTAGTGGTGCTTTCTGGGTTCCTGAAACAAATCACGGATATGCCAACAATAAAAATAAACACGGAAAAGAAAAGGGATAAAGGGTGAAGAGCAGAAAACAAAATCAAACACTTCCAACAATTCTTCCAATCCAACCATGAGACAAACATGGGACGGCCTGGATATAGCGAGTCCAAATCTTCTGCACCTAAAAATCCCTGCGGCCTTTCTGTGCCTTTGTTAATTTGGTTTATTTTTTATTATTTTAATTATTATCAAATTAACATTAATTATGTTTGGTTCAATTAACAAAGGCACAGAGAGGCCACATGGGTTTTTGGGTGCAGAAGATTTGGACTCGGATATAGTGGGATACATTGACCTTCTCACGAAAAAAGAAAAAAAAAAGTTGATTAATATAAAGGAGTAAATTGTACAAATGGTCCCTCAACTTTAATCAAATTGGAGCAATGGTCCCTCAACTAAAAATCCATTACCTTTGGTCCCTCAACTTATCAAAACGTGCAGCTATGGTCCCTCAACTAAAAATCCATTACCATTGGTCCCTGAACTTTAATTCAAGTGGAGAAATGATCCTTTAACTTTAACCCAATTGTAGCAATGGTCATTCCAATATAACTCGTTTTGACAAATTTTTGACATAGTTGATGAAAAGAACCATAATTATACACTTTGATGAGTTAAGGGATCCTAATTATATAAATGGTCATTCCAACATAGCTTATTTTGACAAAATTTTGACAAAATTGATGAAAATGACTATAGCTACACATTTTGATAAGTTGAGGGACCAATGGTAATGGATTTTTAGTTGAGGGACCATTGCTCCAATTTGATTAAAGTTGAGGGACCATTTGTACAATTTACTCTAATATAAAGGGTTTGTGAGAGGTGTTTAAAGGCGAAGTGTTACAAATATTCAAGAAAAAAATGTCATAAGTAACTTTTGGAAACAAGAGTGAAACATTGGAATTTGGATGCAAATAAATGGCAAAGAAAAGAAAATTCATGATTGCTTCTGAATGTGTCATGAATAGAATGTGACCACTACTGACAATGGCAAGGAATAAAGGCCAATTGACTCCCACTGAACCTTCACCCTTAGTGAAACACAATTAACAATTACTGAAGAGACTTAGTGCGTATGCACATCATTTTACAAAACAATATTTCCATGCACATTAGAATTAACTTAAACTTAAAAAATTAAAATATCAAGATAACAACAAATTCTGGCTAAATGTGACTGTTACAAATTTAAATACAAAGCCTTGAGATAACTAATTAATATTTTCCAGATTAAGGTAGCTAACTTATCCCTAAATTTCATATTTTCAACACGAACATCGTCAATTAGTATAATCCTTGGGAAGGAATATATATATATATAATTTTTTTTTTTGAAACTAGTGTATCCGAGTCTTTGACCCAACTAACTAGGTCCCCTGCCTGATCCCACAACATTTGAGGAGCGAGAAACTCTAGCATTTGCTAGGTGGGTACTGTGGGAGAGAGTCGAACCCCAGACCAGTTGGGAGCAAACCAAGGACCTGATTGCTAGACCAACAACTCTTTAGGTATAATCCTTGGGAATACCACACAAAAAATTGGAATTATGTCAAGGGTTGCTAACCAATGTTAATTTATTGGGAAATCTAACACAAACAAATTAAGTTAAAATAGCACTTTACCACTAGATGCAGGTTTGATATGTGCCAACGAAAGCAAATATTCTGCTGAAGTAAGCATAAACTCGTCCTCAATCTTCTCAATATCAATATAAGATTTCCCTGTTTGAGGATAAGCATTGTTGCTGGCAGCTGCAATAAAAATAAAATTTGTGACTGCCTCAAAACAGAACAGTATATAATGCAAATGTGGACAAAGCAAATATTATATTAGACAGTTCTAAATGAGGTATATATAAATGTAATTGAATGTATATGGGATTTCAAAATCATCCAGAAAATTACATAATGGGATTTCAAAATCAGCCTGTATGTATGTGCGTTCATTGCTTTTAAAAAAATTGTTGGTCTGAAAGAAAATTTTCACATAGGTAGGTAGCAGGTAAAAGTTATGGGCATTCAATCTATCAGATACATATGGTAGTCGTGACTCGTGACAACAATTAAAGATGTAGACACAATTAAAACAAACTTTTGGTTGTTGCATTATTTGCTCTGTTCATCTATTGTAATTCTAGCCTTTTCACTTGGATAGTGCTCGTTTTGAAGAAGAGAATTACTCCAGAGTAGAGGATCAATCCAAGCGTTGGCCGGATGAACAAGATGAAGTGCATTGATAGCAGCAGAGAGCCAATTCAGAATCTCCTTTAGTGCCAATGACGTGTGCTGGTAATCTCTCAGAGCTGTTTCTTTTCTCAAACGAGCAGAATATAGGTACATGTAGCATGCTGCTCTTCTCCAGTTATGTTGATGCATTTCAAATGCATAAAGCAACTTATATAAGTCTGGCTTTGCTAATATACCTGAACAATCTGCCTGCATGTTTAAGATAGAGGAAAATCACCAGGACATAAAAATTGAAAATTTGAAATACAGTATCCAATCGGCCCTACATTTAGATCATACCTTCCTGGCAAGCTCGTACTCTACCTTCTTTGTAAGACCAACAAAAGGTAGCTTACCACCACAAAGAATCTGCAACAAATGACGATGAAAGAAATCTAGTAATAAAAAAACCTTCATCGGAGAATAGGCCTCACTAGGACAATCCCACACAGAATAACTGAAATAAGTTCCATACAGGAAACATAATATTCAAATATTTTGCTAAAAAAGTCTATAAAGAAGTACCTAATCAGTAGAAATCACTGAAGCTAAGAAAAAAAGGGTACTGACATAAAATCAATACATTATCGACAATATAGATGGAATGAACATCATGCAAAGAGAATTTCTTGTGGGTATATACTTTGGAACTTAATAAAGACAAAAACTGGAAAGGAATGTCAAAAGCAAACAAAAGTTAGTTTCAAGTTTGAATAAAAACCTTTATGGCACCACGCTCGTAAAGAACAATTATCAGACGCCTCAAGCAGATGTACTTGCTCTCCTCATCTGGGTTTGAAATTACTGCAGAATATGCATCACAATAGAGATTATGATCTAAAGTAAACTTGAAGACATTTGCCCAAAGTCGTCCTTTGATGGTAGATACTGACTCATTGACCGAGTCTTGTCCATTCAGCTCATCTTTAACACTAGCTTCCTCTACCTCCTCAAGCGCAGCGAGAGCAAACTGACAAGCGCCTTCGCTAATATTATATTGCTCAAAGATCTGCATAGCCCATTGGTAATAATGCAGTCTCCATGAGGAAGCTGATATATCACCAGCTAAAAGGAAAGGTAAAATGAAAGAGTTAATAAAAACAGAAAAGCAAAAGGCACAATCAACCGTTTAAGATATAAAAGTCAAACAAACTCACTGAAACCAAGATTTGGAGACCCCGGTTCCTGAAGCAAACTCCGTAAAGCCTGGGATGTTCCTTTTCCAGACGAAGCTCTGAATAGAAAAATTAGATATCAATTTTCACTAGGGAAAACAATGAGCTATTCCTAAGTGCAAATGATACAATTATGAGTGACAATTATGGGCAATTCCCAAGTATAAATATCAGTCTTCAAAAGAATGCACATCATTCATACTAAGCATCTGGACACTACATAAGCCAGAAGTGTACAATGTATTGTTCACTAATATTTGTAATAAAGCTGTAAAGGTGAATGCTAGTTTATTCCATATTGGCCCATTCAAATACAGAGTAACAGAATAGAGAATGTGAAAGAAAATTTTAAATGCAAACACCAAGCAGCTGAGTGTATCATATTAAAAATTCTGACTCTTCGGTTGCGTGCGTTACATCAAAATCCATCAATTTATTGGGTTCACTTTGTGCTTCAAATCAACACATTAAATACTTGAGTATTGGGGAGATTTTTTTGCATGAGTCTATCATATGTGCCTCATTCAGCACACGTAACATGTAATACTCAATTACACATTATTCAATACAACTTGTCTATCGTAAATCTTAATTCAAGCTATCCACTAGTTCAATTATATTGGTACGAGCTGGTACTCCAACGAACTTTTTCTTGGTACAATGGGAATCTCCTTAGAAGAATAATTTTGAAAAAATAGAAATATCTTCAGGAAAAAAGAGATTAAAAAAAACTTAACTTGAAGTTAAAGTTGGAGATAACTTTCTTCAAGAAGTCAGATTCAATGCCCTACAGGAGTTACCTATACAGGATAGCCGATCAGCAAAAGATTTAGAAGACAGAATACCTGAAGAAACAACGAACAGCTTCAGTGACTTTCCTCTCTTTCAGCACTCCATGCAACCCACGGCGTACCTGAGCAAGGAAGCAGCACCCTAAAAGATGATGAAGTATGCACCATCCTCCCTCTGTATCTTGGATACTATAAGATGTCTTCTCCTTTTGTAAATGTGCCTCCACCATAGTGAGTAGGTGCTTTATAGAGTACAGAAAAGTAACAATAAGTAATCTCAATGAAGTAAAATTTAAGGGATATTAGGAAAACTGTAGGTAGAGAAACAACCTCAACCGCATCATACTGCCCATGCCTTAGAAGGATCAAAGCAAGATCTGTTGCACGTTTGAGGAAGGTAAAGGATTCTGCAGTGTGGCCCCAGATGATCCAGCTAACAAAGTCCCGCATTGAAATACTAATGTCCTTCACGCCTGGTATGCTTCTCAAGGCAATACAGACCTGGTCTCCGGAGGAAGTTCGAATGCTTGGTAAGAATAAAAAAGCCAGAGTGAACTCACACTTTCCAAGCTTCTCAGTCCTTGATCTTCTTCCCATGTTTTCATCTGAACCACGGACAGGGATATTCATCAGAAAATACTATATCAGCAAAATTACAAACTAAGGCCCCAGACAAAGCATAATCCTACCAATATGTAACACTGAAAGCTGAGAGCTAAAATCTTCAATTTCAGCTGATTCAGATGGCGTGGTGGCACAGAAATGTATAAGAAGCCACTCAGAAATGATTTTTTCAATCCTTGGAATCAAGTCAAGTTGAATTTTGGATACATCATCATGCAGCATCTGGATCTGCATGCAGATCCAAAGAAATTTTGACATATTAATTGATTAAATTCCAGGAAAATGAAGACCCTTATCATGGAATAAGGAGTTATATAAAAATGATAAAGACTGAAAAAGCAAATGCTTTGGTAAAAAACGAAAGTACGTATACTGTAAAGTTGTTGAAGTGCATTGGAGTAGTTTCCTATAAACTGAAATTAAGACCAAGCATGTGTAGAAACCAATGATAAGGGATGTGAATAATGAATATTAAAGATGCAGTGAAATCATGTATTCGATATATAGAACTAAAGATGAAGGATATTAATATTAAAGCTGCAGTGGAAAGTATGTACTTGAAATTTAGAATACAGCTCAATAGCAGAAAAGATCACGTACAAGGGTTTGTGAAAAAGTTAGAGCAGTGAATCCAACCCAACTTTGTTATTTATTCGTTGTTTCCTTTATAAGAACAATGGGTGATTTAGTTGAGTTGCGTGTTGTATCTAAGTAATATAAAGTCCTGTTCAAGAAAGAAACCAAATTCTCACTTCTATTTTCCATTAGTTCTGGAGGAGAAAACAAAAATTTTATTTACATGCATTTATGAGTACATAGCAATAGATTCCATTCTAACAGAGTACAGAGCCAATTTCTCATATTTTGAATTAGGAAACAAGCAACTCCCTTTCTTCTGGTTTATTACTAACTTGATTTTGTATAAAAGATAACTTCAAGGCATGAACTAAACATTTATTTAATGGAAAATTAGTTTTGGGGTTCTTTTGCTAAGAAACATGTTAAGGATCTATATTGAACATTTTACAGGTTTACGTATCTAAAGCGGGAGCCTTGTGCACTGGGTACGACCGACGTATCTAAAGCTGGCAAGTGAGAAGCAAACTAACCAATAGTCCAGATTCAGAGTCCAGCAACATAACATGCTTACTTATTATGATAAGTAACGTTTTGGTTTGATATACTCTGCTCTGTTTTTTGTAGTCTGGTTGCTGGACTTATTTACCAATGCAATAGTGCTATGTGTTATTTCTTTTGCATAAAACAAAATCAGTCTTTTCAAAATAAATAAATAATTCACAATAATGCATACAGCTGCAGAGACCCAATACATGCGACGTGCAAACAGGGAGCAGAGATATAAGCATCAAAACAAAATAATCAAAAGCTTGTTTCGATGACCAAAAAACAATGAGAAACCTTGCTTCTTAATAAAAGAATTACAAAAAATATACATATATAATTGATTTTGTTACACTGAAAACACTCATAGGAGGTCTTGCTAACCAGAAGTGAAACCACAAAATCAAAGTAAAACAAATAAAAATTATAAAAAATAAAAAGAAACTGACCTGCCCACTGATGCTCACAACATAGCTTAGAAACAGAAGAATGTCAAAGGCAGACTCATACATAACCTTCGCAACTTGAGAAGTAGCCTGGACCAAAATGGAAGCACTAATATCCAACGATATTTCAGCATCAGATTTTTGTATAATTTTCCGAGGTTTAAGAATTTTTAGATAAACCTCAATCACTTTTAAAATTCGACTCCATGTGCCAGATTCTTTGTGCAAGGCATGAAGAGATAGCAGCATGCCAATAGAAAATTTCCTCAATTTTTTTTTATCAGCCAGGTTTCTCTCCAAAGCAACATCAGGTCCATGCTCTGATACATGAAGCATTGCTACCGTTGAACCATATCCAGATTCTAAATTCTTCAAAAGGCGATGAGTAATTTCCTCAGCTGAGATAACGAGTGGTGCACTAACTAATGATTCATAAAATATAGCAGAAGCTGTTTTTCCCAATTGTTGGCTGACATTAACAACACATCTAAGCATTTTAACGAGCACCTCTAATTGAAGAATTAAACCCGCCTCCATGGTAACAAGATGGATGAGATCATCAGAAGTACCTATCAAATATGAATGTGAGAATGCCAAAATAAAAGGGACAAGCATTAAAAATAAGAAATAATTCGTCCTAAAACAAAAAAATGGAAAGGTTCAGCTAAAGCAACAATACCTGAGATACCATTAATAAGCCGCTCAATATTCTCCGAACAACGAAAAAGAGATACTGAGTTCTTTCTGATCAATCCAAAAGTGCCCCTGTGGGAATCCAAAAGCAAGCCACATAGTGCATTGCTCTTGCACCAATTTTGGAAGTAGCGAGAACAGAATTTTTTCCAACAGCAAAATATTGACGTTGAATTATCACTGACACCCTAAAACAATATACAACATACATTGGTTATCTGTTAGCTAGCAACCCCAGGTCATTCCTACCCCCTCCACGGTGTCATATGAGTGTGTGAGAGAGAAACAATAAAAACTCCAACGCAAACCTCATGTTCAATCAGGGAAAGAATTTCCTTCTTCAACATATCGGCGGTTAGAGAATGGAAATCTGAATCACTCCAGTGCCTGTTATAATCCAGCAAGGTTGAGCGCAAAGCAATATTATGATGAACCCCAGGAAGAAGCAGCCTGCGTAAGAAAATCGAGGATACAACTGGTACAATATGATCCTGCAGAATTTTCACAAGCGAAACATCATAAGCAGCTTATTTAATATATAATAGCTTCTAGACTGGCTATAATGAACATCTTACATAAATTTGCATTCTTGTTCAGTTTATAAATATTTTCTACTAACGTTTATACTCAACCCATACACACAGTTAACCCACTAATCCCAAATATTGGGTATTATATAAACTAGCCTCCGTGCACGCGCTCACGCGCATGTAGCAGATATTTTTTGAATCACGACGCGTTATGTCTGACTTACACGTTTTAAATGTATATATATGTGTAAATTGACAAAAGGAAAGTCAAATATTTGAAGTAAATGAATAGTCTTAGATTATGCTAGAAGAAACCCCTCATAAACCAATTAAAGCAACTGAATTCACATGATAAAATCGGTTTCTATAAAATTTACATTAAGAATAAAGAAAATAATATTTAATAAACAATTGATTGAATCACATTTTTGCTAGCCCATTGTGAGGCTAAACCCACCCTCCCCCCTTAGTGTAGATAATATCGTTTGTTAAAAAAAACAAACATTTAACAACTAATTTAATCACATTATTATCCGCGTGCGAAAGACTTTTTTTATAACTGGCATTACACGCCTCTTAAGATGTTTTGAACGTTTTTAAAACAGAGAAAATAATATTTAATAAACAACTAATTGAATCACATTGTTGCTAGCCTATTGTGAGGCTAAACCCACCTCTCTCCCCCTTAGTATAGATAATATCGTTTGTTACAAAAAAAAAAACAATAATTTGACAACTAATCTAATCACATTATTATCCGCGTGTGAATGATCGTTTCTATAACCAGCATTACACATCTCTTAAGATGTTTTGAGCATGTTTAGAAATAGATAAATTAAATCAAATTATTGTTAGCCTATTGTGAGGTACTAATTAAAAAAAACCACAAAATAATTTAATTATTAAAAAATACTATTAAAATGACGAAAATGCTCATACCTTATTTGATGCATTATTTTGGGATGCTTTTGAAGTTTTTTGTTTTCGGGGCATTTTTGTCCAATTTTTTTTGTTGAAGCTTGGTGACACCAGAACACTATTCACCTTTTCTTGTCTCTTTATACGTAATAGATGTACACGAATTCTTGTTCGAAGCTCTCTTACATAATTCTTGTTCAAGGTAAAGTGAACATCCTTTCAAGAAAAGTACTAAATATTGAGATACGAAGCGAAATCTGAGCTTCAAGACTAAAGCTAAGCACCCACTCAGTAGACATTGTGTATAGATTAGACTTATCATGTTAGTACTTGGAATCCAGGTGGGGAATTATGTAAGGATCCTTTATTAAAATTTGTGATTTGATATGGGACCTTATTGATTGAATAACATAGTAATTGTAGATATCATGCATCTTTGATTTTAGGATGGATTAAGTAGAATGATTGCGGAATGATGTGGGATATGATTGTTATTATTATGATTAGTCTCGTTGCTCAAAGTGGCTTGAGAATAATATTGTACTTTGTTGGTTCTCGGATATGTTACATGTGGTGGATTAAGGTTTCATGTTGAAAACATAGTGATTTATATGATGGAGGAAGTGGAAATGTTGTTTGTCATATTGGATTGTTATGTAGCCCTGAATCTAGTACTTCCATACTTGTCAAGTTCTAATGATTGATTGAAGAATGTTATATCTTTCGGCTTGAACGTACTGTGGTAAATGTAGGGAATGGTGAACTACGAATGGCTTGATCCCTATTTAGGGTACGTAGGCAGTCTAACGAGGAAGTTAGATGCAGCCATAAATTGTATGAAAAATGCTATGCAATTTGAATATTGATCTATGCTTTGTACATATCCCGGAGGCAGGGTATGTTAGATATATGGTTATTTGATGTCATCACGTGTCGATCCCGGACATACGTCGGGATCGGGGCGTGACAGGTACTTTGTTAGAATTCGCGTCCGTTTGGCATAAAAGTATCAGAGCCCAGGTTTCGGCTTAGGCTTTGCTTGCCAATCACTATGAAGCCTTATGTGTCGTCGGTGAAAGTTAATATAGAAAAGTTCGATGACAGCAATTTTGGTATTTGGCAATTGAAGATGTGTGCTTTGTTAATTCAACAAGGGCTTTTGAAAACACTAAAGGGTGTGAAGGCTTTGCCGAATTCGTGGACTGATGAGGAAAAGGAAGACGTTATGGAGCGAGCACTTGGAGCAATCATGTTGACTTTATCTAATGAAGTCTTGCGTGAAGTTGGTAACGTCAAATCTACACCAGAGTTGTGGATCAAATTGGAGAGCTTGTAGATGACCAAATCTCTTGCTAAACAGTTATGTTTGAAGAAAAGTTTGCATACTATTCGTATGGATGAAGGTACGTCAATTCATAAGCATGTTGATGAATTCAATAAACTTATGATGGATTTGAAAAGTGTGGACAACCAAATTAGTGATGAGGATTATGCAATAACTTTGCTGTGTTCTTTATCTCCTTCGTATGAACACTTTGTCGATACCATGCTATTTGGTAGAGAAAGTCTTAGTTTGGAAGATGTTAAAGTCGCCTTGAATTCTAAAGAGTTAAAGAATAAAGTGTCTAACACACAAGATAAAGCTTTGGTAGTTCAAGGAAAGAATAAGGAAATGGGCAAACTTGGAAAGAACACTTGTAGCTATTGTTATAAGAAGGGTCATTGGAAAGTAGATTGCCCTAAACTCAAGGGCAAAAAGAACTCATTTGATAAGTCTTTTGCTAGAGTTGAGTCAAACATTGTAGAAGATCGTTGTTCTGAACTCCTCTAAAGGTTATGTGAAGAGTGGAGCTTGGTACTCAAGCTCTTTGGGTGGAGTGCAATTCGCACTTTTTGTTCGTATGTTCAAGCTATTGCTTGGATTTTGTTTCATATTTGCTAGTTTATGTAATGGAATTTGTTGGAGAAGGCATTGGAGGAAATTTCAAGTTTGAAGACTTTTGGATTTTTTTTATTCTAGGTGGAGATCAATTTTGAAAGAATTTGGTGCACGTTTGCGTTTGTATTTTGGTATCCCAGATTTGAAGTTTGTATTTGATTTGCAAGTTTGCTAATTTCTCGCCAAGGTGGAGATTGTTGGGTTTTACAGCTCATAATTAGGATGATGGAAAAAATTAGATTAGTGTCGAAAGAATTTGGTGCACGTTTGCGTTTTTATTTTGGTATCCCAGATTTGAAGTTTGTATTTGATTTGGAAGTTTGTTAATTTCTCGCCGAGATAGAGATTGTTGGGTTTTACAGCTCAAAATTAGGATGATGCAAAAAATTAGGCTTGTGTTCCCTATTTGGTTTTGGTGTCCTTTTTGGGTTTGGATTTTGACTTCTTAGTTGGTTTCCTTGGTGGAGAGATTTTGTTAATTACCTATTTGATTAGGATTTAGATTTCCTTCCTATTAGGATTTTTATTGTAACCTAAGTCCTATGCACTATAAATCGGACCTTAGGGTTAGTGTATTTTGTGTGGCTCATTCGTGTGGTAATTTTGTGAGAGTCAATTTGTGAGTTTGTGAGTTAGAGAGCAATTTGGGAGAATCTTCTCCGTTAGTTTGAGTTCTCTACTCGTTTGGTTTAGGGTTTGTAATTTGTGGGATTTGGGTTGTGAGAGTTTAAACACTCTTTTGTAATCTCCGTTTGTTTAGTGAAATTCATCGCATGCTTCGCCCGAAAACGTAGGCTTTACGCCGAACCACGTAAATTTCTTGTGTTAGTTTGAAATTGTTTGTTTTAGCTTTCACCTATGACGTTAATATTGGTACTTTGTTAGAATCCGCTTCCGTTTGCACGTAAAAGTACAACACTGGTGGAATTGAATCCATCCAAATAAAATTGTGACAGCATTTCCAATTGCATTTCGTACATGGCAGAATATTTTCTAGTTCTTTGTAATATTGTCATACAGTAACCTGACAATCCTTAAGAAAAAAAAATGAAAAAAAGAAGCATTGTCTAATAACAATAAAATTTAACTGATATACCCATCATACCTTCGAAGATGAGAATACTGAATGTGTAATCAAAAGGAGGTCATCGGAAGAATGTTCAGAACTTTGAAACAATTGATCTGCAACAAAGTCCTCCTGCAAAGCGTAAGAGCATGCATCTTCCCTGGAGCTTTAGGGTTTAGGCAAATGAAAGAAAAAAGAAGTTAAGTCAATCATATACATTGAAAAGAAAAGCATTTACTGTTGACCAAAAAAGATATGGGTTGGAACTATACATCCCTACACCAGCAAGAGTTTATATTTAGAACAAATAAAATAAAACCTCAAACAATAATGTCATGAAAAGAAAGGCACATAATGTGGATGAATAAAGTCAAGGGCATCAGCTGTCCCTTCCAACTTCATAAACTGAAATCAGAACTATTATATAGTATTAGATGGTATGTACATATACTTAAATACCTGCACGAAGTGCCACCGTCATGAAACCATCAGCTAATTAGCTCAAACTAATTATGTGATTAAGTTTATTGCAGTTCTAAGAATAGAGAACTCTCTTTCACAAGATAATATCTTCCCAGTTCATCTTTTCACTCCCCTATAGGAATTTATATACAAACAATATAGAGGCGTGCCCTAGCACAAAGGAAGCATTCAAGAGAGGTCAATGAAAGGGAGAAGAAATACAATGCCACGGAGTCAAATAAATATTAACAGAAACGAATTCACTTACGTCATGACATTCGTAAACAAGTTGTGAAGCACTAATCCCTTTGTTGTCAATATGCATATCTTTTTAGACGTAAGTTTGACGTCAACCCATCCAGCCTATGAAAACCAAATTAATAGTATATATATTTGGTGTAACAAATATAACTTAGGAAAAAAAAGAGAAAGTAAGGCAGTGGGATTGACCAAAAAAAATTTGTGTACCTCCTCCAAAGGAATATTTTGTGCTGAAGATTCCAGCATTCTAACTGATCCGTACTCCAAATTACAACGGAAACTATATACACAGATAGTATTTGAGCAGATTCCCTTCAAGAGCGGC